TGAACTTGATCCACAGAAAAAGATCCGCTAGTCTTTGTGCGTGGCAAATCCTCTTTGGGTTAACTCGCCAAGCCCTCTTCGGAAACGCCATGCCACCACCGAATCGGGCTTCATGAGGAAGCTTTCCCTCACATTTCCAGCCCTAATCTCGGATACTTCTATATGGTCCCATCCGTTCTCCAAACCCTTCCCTCATTCCCCCCCCCGGGGGGAGTCTTCTAACCGTCGGGGGAACAAGGCAAACAGCAGAGCGTCGGAACCACCAGAAACAGCCACCTCAGCAAAACCCAAACCACTCGAAATCCACCTAACGGAAAACGCGCTCCTCCGGCTCAGAGCGTCCACGCCTGAGAGGAACATCCCCGTCCGAGTTTCCGCGCCCGAAAACTTTAAAAAAAAGAGACTGGAAAAGGCCCGCAGCGGCCCCCCTCTAGGGCTCCGCTGGTCACTCGGCTCGACCTGCCGTTTCCGCTCAGGCGCAGCGCCGCAGACTAACGGACAGCGGCCGGACGCCTAGCCCGCGCGCTGGGGACAGCGCTGCTACCGTATTTCCTCGGCGCGCGGACAAGAGTTTTTTTTCTTTTTTTTTAAACCCGCCTAGGGCGGATTCCGCTTTCCCAGCCGCGATTTTCCCGGGAGTGGCGAGGAGTAACCCGCGGGGGTGGAGTAACGCGCCGGGTCCGCCCAAGGCCGCCTCTTTCGCATTCCTTTCCGTAAACGGTCGCCACAAGAGGAAGACCCCTCCAAGCCCCGCCCCTTCCCCCCCTCCGCCCACCAGGGGAGGCGTCGCCCCCCTGAGAAGAAGAAGGTGGTCTTGGGCGTGGTCGCCGCCGCCGTGTAACGCTCTCGCTCGCGCGCCCCCTATCCGCTCGGTATGTGCTTCAGAGAGCCGCTCGCGCGGAACCCCGCCCTCGCCCCTTTGGGGATCGGCCGAACGCAGGCCTCCGGCTCCGATCTCCACCCTACCATGTTTGAACACAGCCGCCGCCAGCCCGTCACGGCTGACGCGGCGAGCACACGGCCGCAGGGCGCGTTCTATTTATGTTTGTGGCCGCTCAGTTTTCCATATGCCCGCCCCTCGCTCCTCCCCTCCTTTTGTGGGCCAGGCGGAAGGGCCCCTCCCCTTTTGCCCGTATATAGCGCTGGTAGGCGGGACCTGCCGCTCCGGCAATCTCTCGCTGCCTTCCTGGTGCCGTTTATAGAGTAAAACCACTTCCGCTGTCTGCTTAGAAGCGGCGCGATCATGGCGGAGCGCGGACAGCTCCCGACCCCCGCCAAGCGCCTTTGCTGCAGACCCGGGTATGGTGCTGGCTGCAGGCCGGGGCAGCGGGCGAGCGGCGGCAGCGGCGGCNAAAAAAAAAAAAAAAGCCAAGATGGTTGCCATGACAGAGCAAGCAAAGTTCCACATTAAAAAAAATAGACCTTTGATGGTCTATTCTAACTCAATCATGCCCTACAGAGACGCTACTACCTGCTTGGCAGTTGGCTACAGGCAGCCACCAAGTGACATCTTGTTTGTTGGTTGTGATTTAATGCATTGCTTTTCAGCTGAACATTATGCACTTGACAGTTTGTTAATCCATTAATCCCTCAATTAAGAAAGCAAAAACATCGGCAGCATTCCTGGGAGGATGATGTCCCTTTACTCCTCAGTTAGATGGGAAGAAATGAGTTTTGAAGGGAGCTGGATTCTGGAGGACCAGGACAAAGGAGGGAGACCCAGTGACACACACACACACCCAGCCCTCCCCTTCCTTCCTGGGGGCATTTTTGCAAGTGGAGAAATGTTCCAAATCTGTCTGCAATGGAAGTCAGGCTGGGGCTAATCGGATGAGTGCCTCCCAGATTTGCATCCTAATTAAACTTGAATGCTTGCAATTCCATTTCAGCTCACAACCCTCCGAGCTTGGCCAAACTAGCAGCTGGCTTCTCTGGACCCTCCTTTTTAAGAATTGTTGTTTTCTATATTTCAAGCACCAGGAATGTGTCAAAGTAAAACAGACTTTCAAGTTTAGATAGGAGGAGGAGGAGGAGGAAAAACAAAGTGGCCTTCTGAGAGACTGGCCTTGGTTTGAGAATTAAAGTTTTGCTATTCGAGGTGGAGTAGGTAAGGATGGCTGCCCCTCTTAAATACTTCGTCATCCAAAGCCACTCAGGTATTTTGGCACCTGAAAGAGAATCCCTCTTCCCTTTTCTAGCAGCAGGTACATATAGGTAATCTTTGTTTAGGGACCAACTCATTTAGCAACTGTTCAAAGTTAGGACAGTGATGAAAAAAATAACTTCACAACTATTTCTTGTATTCACAATCTTCACAAATCTGCAAAGTTAAAGAAAGCTGACGTAGGATCATAAGCACAGTTGCAGTTTCACTTAGCAACTACTTCACTTAAACACTGAGTTGCCATTCCAATTGTGGTCGCTAATTGAGGACCTAAAAAAACCTTCAAAGTCCTGATGATGTATTCTTGTCCCACATGGAGTTTCTAACCCAGACACCCAAGATCAGCCCTCTCAGTTATGATCTCATTCTGCCAAAGGTAGAGAAGTCTCAGAGAGAGATGTTGAAATGATTTTCTGTCTGCCATAATTCCTTCATTGTAAGGAAAGTTGTTTTCTCTCTGGTTTTAGTTATTTTCTGTATCTTTTTGGAAAGGAAAACTGGGTTTTTGGTAACCCGAAAGGTAGATATTACAAATGTTTGCTTCATTGGGAAATACTTTAGTGATTCAAGCATAATTTATTATGGCTGTGCAATTATTTCATTCAGACATTTGGATTTGAAGATAATTCAATTAAAACAATGATTTGATTTTTCCCCCCAAATTGTATTCCAATCAAACTACATCAGACATCAATTTGAAAAAAAAAATGGGCCATTTAAGACACTGGCATATGTACAAGCATGTTTTTTCCAAAGGCCGGTCAGGATCAAACTGATTTTCTCAATCAATTCCAAAATCTGGTAATCCAGTGGATCTGACTTTCTTGGTTTGGTTCTGAAATCTTCACAATCTGGAGACTGACTGGTGAAGCCAGTTTATCAGTTTGAGGAAATCATCTACAATCTGGAAATGTAAGTTGAGAAAATAAGAATGGTCATGGTGGCTGGGAATGATGGGAATCATGCCTTAGGTGCCCAAAGGGAGTAAAACATTCAAAAGGAGGAGAGTTACATCTTGTGTCTTTACGGCCAGAATCTAAGGAAGAAGGGCACCTATGAAGTTGTACAATGTCTAGATGGCATGATTAACCTTCTGAATAGTATCTGTTTAAACAATCTCCCCCTTATTACTGACGGTTGGTGTAAGAAGCCATAAAACAAGACCCAGTGGACTTAGCTCTTCGCCAATCAAACCCTTTCCTTTCTTACTGGTGTCTGTTTATTCTTATCATCAGCACCTTCCTCCCCACTATGCAGACAGCTTAGTCTGAGTCAGGGTTTGCAAAATAAGTTTTCCCTCTCCTTTCGGTGATGCAACTCAGCAGTGGATGATGGGAACGCTGAAAGTTTCTAAGAAGTCCTCATACAAGGAGATGCGACTTAATCAGAAGCCTCCTCTGCATAATTTGTGCACAGGCAGTATCTAGGAGGTTGGTGAAAGCCCATCGCATCCCTTCCACAAACATTTCTTACATTTGACTATATTTTATTGTAATGTGTAAATTTTTGTCTATATTTTTCTTAGGGTGTTTTGATGTTTTTATTCATGTCATCTCCCTTGATTGTCAAAGAAACAGAAATGCCACAGTACCAATCCAATAAATTTCCTGCTTTCTTGAGAGAAAAGTTTGTCCCTGCTTTTTGATTTTTTTAAAAACTCATTTAAATAGTTTATGAATACAGGACCTCTGGGAAGTGTCCATCCCATCTAACTATCAATTTCTTTTTGCCTCTCTTAATATCAGCCAAGATGCCTAGCCAAAGCATATTTTTCTTCTTCAGCTAGTCTGGGCACATAGATCCTATCGAAGCTGCAATTGAAAATACCATTTATAGTTTGAATATACTACAAAATAGTATATGTCTGTGCTTGTGATTTTTTTTTTCCTCAGAAAAATTTAAATGTTTACGGCTGTCAAAAGTATTCTGGAAAACAAGTTTACTAAGGATAACAGTAATAGTTCTGAGCAAAATTTAATCTATAAAAAAAGTTCAAAATCATTTGCAAACCAGACTTTATGACTTCTAATCTCAGTTGTACAGTATAAGAGGTTTCGGTTATTTAAGTTATATGTGGGCCGTAATGGAAGAGTAAACGCTCTCTGTGCATGCTCTGAGACACTCGTGAATTTTTCGCTGGTACAAGTGAAGACGCTAGAAACAAGCCGGGGGTTCTTCACGGCTTTTGACTAATGCCCTAATAACCCTCCCTCCCCACCCACCCACCTCCGGTAAAGAAAACTCCGCGAAGCCCAGCCCTTCGCCGCCTTTCACGCCGAGAACGATTTAGGCGACGAAGCCGGTGAAACCACATTTCCCAAATTCCTCTGCCTTTCAGTTTTGCCTTTCCCTTCGCGGGATTTGGGGACACCCCGCGTTTCCTCCTAAAGCCCGCCGACTCAGCCGGCGATCTAGCTTCCCAAAGTGACAGAAACGCACAAACTCAACTCAAACTCAACTCAACCTAAACCATTCGCCCCCGCTCCCTCCGATGGGAAAAGTGGTGGTGGTGGGGTGTCCTAGGAGGGAGACAAACAGGTTTTGCCTCGCGGCGGCGGCAGCAACACGCAGGTTCAAAGGCGTCGGTCGTTGAGGCGAAACTCTCGCATGCTTCCTCTTCCCGGCCGCTGACAAAACACGAGAAAACTTTCCTTCCCGATCCCCAGGGAGCGAGCGAGCGAGCCAGCATCTCGCCCGCGTTCAACACGCCCACAGCTTCAGATCCTGTTGGGGGCTAAAACAGACCCTCGATCGCCTAGGTTGCAAAAGGGCCATTCCTCCGCGTGATCCCGCTCACAAGCCACCCGAGGCCGCGGAGCGCAAAAGGCGAGCTTACCTGCTTGAGAACCTGCCGAGCGGACGCTCCACCAGAGGAGCAGCGTTAGCGCGGGCAGGCAGCTCCGGATCTGGCGCTTCTTCATGGTTTCGGGTGTTGTGAACTGGAGGAGAGAGAGCCCCGTTTCTCCCGGCGGCGCGCGCGGGATCCCAGGCTACAGCATTCCGCTTTGGGATGGGAAAGACGGAGCAAGAGGAGAAGCACCTGATCCAGACCCCAGGCGGACGAGTCAGCTTTGACCGGGGGGGCGATCACTTGCTTCTTTCCTGCTTCATGGGGGTCTTTGGCGAATCCCCCTCCGCCGGCGCCTCTTTTTTTTCTTCTCGCCCACCTCCCAAAGTGGCCAATTCTCCCCTACCGGAGCCACAAACTCCGGCTCGTAGCGCTTTGATCTGTTTTACTCCACAGCACAACTCACAAATTACACACACTTCATTCACGAGAAGCTCGGGCCTCATTGGCCGGGGCTGCGCCGCGCTCCGGCCAATCAGAGGACAAGCGAGAGAACTCCGGAACGAGGAATGGAAAGCGGAGATTTGTTTTGAGAAGGAGAAAGCGCGCGCGCGAGAAAGAGAAAAGTCGACGCCGGCTAGCAGCTTGTCCGACCGTCTCTGTTGCGATAGATTTAACAGATTTAACAGATTAACAGAGATGGAAGGGACCTTGTAGGTCATTGTAGCCCAAACAGGAGGCCCTACACCATTTCTGACAGATGACAGTCCANTTTGTAGTAATTGCTGCCAGAGAGCTTATCTCTTTGTTTATTTTGGGCTTGCAGCCAACGAGAGTCTGGACTGATTAAAACATTCTTTTGTACATTTGGCTTTCGTTCCTGGATGGAGAAGTGGGGGTCAGAACAAGAACCTTTAACTTTACCTTAGCATGGACTGAGCCGAATGTTTTGAAAGGACAAAATATTCATCATGAAGGAGTGTTAAAGGGTGTCTTCTTTGTGGCAGCCTCTTGGATATTAGAACACTGCTATCGTGTCACCTTCCTTTCTCTGGACTAGCCACAACCAGTTTCTGTAACTGCTCTTCGTATGTTTCAGTCTCCAGGCCTTTAATCATCCTTGTTACTCTTCTCCGACCTTTTTACAAAATCTTTTCTGTAATGCGGTTGTGAGTTCCCTGTTGGAACGCTGCCAGTCTAAAGGGTGGAGGAGGAGGAGGAGGAGGAGGCTGTGAGCTGGATGTTTTCACTTTTGCTGTAACTTCTTGGTAGTTTGAGGGAGGGGGATAATAGGCCATCTGCAAAGACTGCTTCTCAACCAGTTTCAGCCTGGCATTCAAGGTCGTGAAATCCCGAGGATGGTCTCTTCTCACCATTTTGTCTCGGAGGGTTCATAATACCTTTGCAACATTTTATTTGTAACCAATAGAGAAGGGGTGTTGGGTGGGGATTGAACAGGGGAAATTAGCTTAATGCAGGGGTTGCAAACACTCAAAGAGCCACAAAGGTCCTAACCAGAAACACCCCCCCCTTTCAATTCTGGAGCCAACTGGAAGTCTGGTTCTCCCACCATAGAGTCTCCTCCTAGCACGGCGTCCTTTTTCCTCTACCTGTCCTAAACGAAAGCCCTATCAATTGTGGAGCCAACCAGTGACAGGGAGCTGCAGCAGAGGGATGAAAGAGCCACATGCGGCTCCAGAGCCGCAGGTTGCCGACCCCTGGCTTAATGCTTCGCACAGGAATTTTCAGACTCTGCCTGACTTCTCTGCAATCACTATCTCTCGGTAAAAGTACCTTTTGAAATGTAAACAGCTTCAAGACTTTTACTTTCTTGAGAAGGTAGCTGAGATAGGTCCTTACGACAGAGATCAAAACTGTATTACTGGTGTGATCTTTCTAGGGTTTTATAAATATAAGGTCTTATGTTTTATGGATCCTATTGTAATCTCTTGGCTTATTTGTGAGCCATTCAAAGCCCTTGAGAGTCAGACAGAGTGCAAGTTTAATTAATTATTATTGTTATTGCTGTTGCTGTTGTTGTTGTTGTTATTGTTGTTATTATACAATTGTATCACAGCGGCCAGTTGTTTCATCGGATTTGGCATTGGTTACTAGTCGGGCCCCACCCAGGGATGTCGTAACGTATTTTCGTAATATGCGTGCAGATCCAAGCAGTGCGGCTTTTTGCATTTGACTGATGGTGATTTTGTCAATTTTTAACTGTT